AAGGGGTTGTTTTCTTCGGGGTGTTTGTATGCATGAGCTGTGAATGGGTTTTGGTGATAGGAAAATGCCAAATTGGAATTTTGGATTGTTTTGATGGGGAAGAATTCATTTGTTTTTTCTCTTGTAAGGGGTTAGAGAAGGTGATGAAGTCTGTTCCAAACGAGGACGTGTTTTGTTTTGTTGGTATTTTTTTCTTCCCAAACTTGATAAAAACGTTAGTGCTTAATGATGGGCAAAGTGCTTTTGAAAAGTGAAGGTATAAATTTGTTTCCTTTGTTTGCCAATTGTGGGTTTTCGATTCTGCGGCACAATTCATTAGGCATTTTGGGGATTGACGTTTGTACAATGGATGCAAAAGCAAAAGCAAAGAAGAGAAGGAATGATGGTTTTAATTGTTTTTCACCCTTTGCTTTGTGCGGCTCATGTGTCCAGCACCATAAAGATTTTGCTCTCCTAGTGCCCGCCCAATCAGAAGGCCCCTATCATCCTCATTACACTAATTACTAATCAAAACATTCTAAGTGCTTGGAGAGGTAACACATATCATAAAATGTGGGTTCATCTGGTTGGCCCAAAAAGTGTGGACCAACCCATCATTTTTGAAGATAAAAAAAAAATGGCATATTTAGAATACATGTAACTTTGGTTTCATCCCATGTTTAGATGTTGTAATTAAATCAAACACCAAAAATATCCATAATTAGAGTTTGAAAACCCCAATTATTCTTTCAAAACCAGGTTGATACATAGTGAGAGTAAGTATCCGAAACCCCTTTTGCTCTTATCAAAGAGGGATGGAGAGAGAGAGAGCAAGTGTAAAATTGTAGCACATAATGAATCAATGAGGAAGAAGTAGTAATTCATTACTCAAAAAAAGAAAAAAAAAGAAGAAGAGGTTGGGGGGCAAAAAATAGCAAAGAAAGTGGAGATGGTATATATATTTATGTATAAAATAAGAGGAGAAAGGTGCATGCACACTCAAAATCTCATGTACTCTACTAGAAGTTGCCTGCATTGTGCGTGGCCATAATTATGTCAGCTTCCTACAACCTAATAAAAGACATGCACAAAAAAGAAGCATCAACCATTTATTTAAGGAAGAATAAGAAACAATAACCAAAGGACAACTTGCCTAGCTAGCTGTCATAATGTAGAAAAAAAGAGTTAACTCGCTTTGCCTCACCATCAATATTACGACGCCGTAGCCCTTCTCTCAACACCATTATTAATTCCATTAATTTGACGGGCCATTTTTAATAACAACATCCCATTTATTTTTGAGTTTTTACCCTTTTCCGTAAGTCCATTGCTTGAATGGAATAGGACATTGTATTAAAGTCTTAGAGATGGGTAAAATCGTATAATTATTCAAAATGGTATCAATTATGATTAAGGAGGAATTTAAAATTTATAATTCTTAACCCTAAATTTTAAATCTTAAATTATTTTTTACATTTATTAAAATTCACAAAAAATCGTAGAATCAACTTCTATTGACATCCGTTCATAATTATGATAAATTGAAAGTAGGACATATTTTGGATCTCCTAAATAAGGTTGAAAAAATTGTGCTTCTCACTCATTTCCTAATAGAATTCAATGCCAAAACTTGGAATGCATCATAACATTTAAGATGGTGGAGGGGGAGGGCGGTGTGAATTGTTGCAAGTTGGAGAGAGAAAGAAGAAAGAAATTTAGTTTTGCATTAATTTGTCAAACCTCCTAATAATGATAATCCCTTACGATGGACGCTGAAAGTCGGCACCTTTGACGGCAAGGGTTGTGAATATTGATATAGCTCAAAGCCAAAAAGACAAAAGAAATTGTAGACTCTTGGGTCTTATCTTGAAGAAATAGTAGTTGATCAAAATAGTTGAAAGCACATGGACCACATAATGATGAAATCACCTTGGTTTTCAACTAAAAACTCGAACATCTCTTTATCTTAAAAGCCTCAAACAGTAACTAATCACATGGCTAGCAAGAAAAAACCCTTCAGTTAAAAATATCTAAGGACCACTTCCTTTTTTTTTTTTTGTTTTAATTTTATTATCATGAAAATCAATAAGCTTCTTCTGTTCATTTCCTTTTCGATAGGATCCAACCCTTTTTTGTGAATGTAAAGAAAGAAAAAAATAAGTAAAAATTACGATAGCATGACTTGGGTTGCACGTTTGGAAAAGGCTATTTTTTTGGGTGGGAAGTAGTGTTAAAAGTGAGAGCCTTTTTGGAGCCTAAATCTGAGTGAAAGATATGCATACGGGGAAAGGAAGAAACGAGGAGAAAAGAGAAGAGAAGGGAAGGGTGGGGTGACAATGAACTTAAGCTTCAAAAGGATGTTTACTGATCAAGGCTCTTTTCAGGCTGTTTCCTTCCTTTCATTCATTCATTTTCCCTGGCTTTTGGGGTACTGATGATTTCCTTGAATTGCGCAAAAACTTTTTAAAGCTTTTAATGGTATTGATTGAGGAGTGCCTATGGCTAACCTTTTATTACTTTTCTTTTAATATGTGCATCTTGAAGGTCCATTACTTGTTTATATTATACTATAAAATTAAGCAAATCCCAATAGAGAGTGAAAAAGGCACTCCCCTCTCTCTCTCTCTCTCTCTCTTTTCTAATTTTAATAATTGTACACTTAAAGGAAACCCCATTTGAAAATTTTAAACACAAGCATCGTCTATATTGCAGTTTCAGTTTGTACAAGTTCTTGTGATTTCATATATTTGAAAACCTGCCATGCATAGAGGGCTTCCCGAACGCGAACTCTTTTACGAAGGAGAGGAGAATAGCTGAAGAAAACGGAATTTGAATGAATATCATTGGAGTTGGAGTTGTACTATTGTTTCTGTGCTCCGCACTTCGACCAGTTCCCATTACGGCCCATTTCCAAATTTGGTCCAAAGGGCTCTGCAGGCTCTACGAACCACAGCCCATAATGTCACAACCCCGGCACACACAACCAACTTCCCAGATTCAGTGTACTATAGTTTTAGGCCAGAAGCAACTTGCTTTCTATTACCAGCATGAATGTGGAAAGAATTTCTATTTACAACAAGTACATCAACAAACAGTACACCATTACACAGACCAGCATTACCACCATCTCACCACATTTGGCTACACAACACCACACCAATTGCTAGTTCTAAACATTTTTTGTTGAGTCTAGAGGAAACAGTTTTTAATACAACCCCATGTACATATTAGGGTATACATCAGAAATTCAGCTGCCTGCATTGTGTAGCATCGATATCAGACGGGCAGTACGGGCACTTGAAACTTTTTGAGCTATTCTTTGACATCTTGTTGATAGACTGTTTGCAGAGCACATGACCACACGACATCAGCATTGGCGGATTATCATCAGTTGATTGCTCCTTAGACACAGGGCACACAAATATAGAATGAAATTGAAACTCCTTATCCAACTCCACTGGGACTGGCGACTGCTTCATGGATTGCCATTCCTGCTTCTTCCCAGCCATAACAGTCATAAACTTCAGAAGAGGTGGCAACCCTTGCACCCCTGCTGCTATTGTCACGCTCAATGGGCTCTCGTATGATTGCCCCAGAAGATTGCAGAACTGTCTCGTGAGCTCCTCAGCCACTACATCCCAATTGGTTGGCGATAATAAATGAGCATATGGGGAGTCCTGAAGTCTATCAGAATACAAGAGACACCCCATGAGCTTCTGGATTTCAGCCATATGGTTTGCAGCAAAAGGAGCAAAGTTAGTTCTTGCATACTTGAGTGCTTCATCTCTGCTTCCCTTTTGTAGTATTTTTACAAACTGCAAATGATGGAGTTTCAGCTGAAGGTCTGAACCATTTTCTTTCAGTTTATCAGAGTTTACAGCTGCCCATTTCAGGGCAGGCTCCAGGTTCCTACTCTTCATGGCTTCAAGCATTTGATACATTTCCTGGAAAAGTGATCTCATAGCAACAGCAGCTTCTGCCTCCCCAGTTTCACTTATGAAGCAATCACCAACATCAAACAGCCCCTGCCGATAGAAATGGCTGGCAATTATTTGGTTAACTGTATTGGAATCAAACTCAATATTTCGATAAGCCTTGGATATATCAGGATTAAGGATTTTCTCAAGGGCTTTTGGATGCTTGCTCAGCGCTATGTTCAGTTCCTTTTGTGTGCCTTCTAACTGACTGAGTGGAGCAATTTCATGCAACTTTTTCTTCAGTTCAGCAAGTACAGATTTATAATCAAATGTGGTTGACTGCATCATCTCTATTGCCTTCTCAATTTCTTGAACAATCTGGTCCAGAACTTCCTGGGTTTTCGAAAAGGACAGCTTTTGCTTCTTTGCAACACGATCAAATGCATCTTTCAGGCTATTCAACTCCATTTTCACCTCTATTTACTGTACCACTAACCAGGTTAGAATATTGCTACAGGGGCACCTGCAAAAAAGAGATAAAGAATTCCTACCAGTTAATAATCTAATTTGAAATAACTTATCTATGTGGAAACACAAAAAAACCTACGAAGACCTCAAATCTGCAGTCAATATTCACAAATGTAACACATTCCAGGATAGCAGGGTCAAACAGCATGAAAAGAGGTAAAGCATATGTTCCACTAAACTTGGGGGAAGGAGGAAAAAGCATAATCTCTGGGAAGAAAGATTCAGTGAACTGATATACATCTATCATTTGGGTCATAATCTCAAATTCATGAGAAATTGTCAAGTGAACAAATTCATATCTGGAGGAGAGCTTGGTAGGGGGTGGGGGGGTGGCGAAAAATGAAAAACAACTATTATAAAATTGCCTTCTAATATAACCCAGATGCTGGTGACTAGCAGTCCATCAATTTTGAGTTAAAAATAACAAAGTTACTATTGTTTAACCCTGTAGAAATTCAACAAGTAGCAACAT